GAAGTTTCCTATAATCTATTTATAAACTGGTCACTGACACATTACTGTGCAAAGTCAAAATGCAACTTATTTTCTTAAATAAAAAACAACAAACCAAACCTGTAGGCATTAGATGCAGTATATTTCACTGAAAAATAAACCACACACCTTGGTTCTCAGTCTTACCTCAGCCCATTTAAGAATACAAGTCATGCAGAAGGTATGACTGCAGTTCTCAGGAAAACCAATCTCTTGTTCTAGAAGGCAGTTCAGACAGATGGGGCATGTGTCACCATCGTATAATGAAGTAGAACAGGAACAGCTTTCTTCATTTTCTTCACCTGGTATTATTAACATTGACACTTAGAACTTTTGACAGTTTTTGAAACAAAGTCCTCCTAGACTTTAATCATAAGGCAATAAGATAGAATTCTCTGTATTTAAAAGCAAGTTAATCAAGTTTTCAGGTCTAATACAGTCCAGACCCTGCCTGGGAGTAATTAAAGGAATGTATTTCAGGTGGAAACCACTACGCACCATTTTTCATAGACTACTGTACCAGTATTTGACATAAAACAAAGGAAAGTTAGCTCTAGTGCTATATAAATAAAGAAAGCAGTGTTTCCTATTGGTCACATTGTTATTTAGACACTCTTCTCCCGAGTTCTTCCTCCTTGGACATTTGCACTCTCTCCATGAAATAAATTAGACCAGCTTATTCTATATTCATTATCTTATATACACATGGTCTACCTTTATTTCAGTTTACCAGTCTTTGAACTATTTTAATCTGAACATCTTCAAATATTTACCTAATCATGTACATTAAATAAGAAGTGCTCCCAATTTTGTTAAAGTTAGAAATTGTTTTCAGGATATAAAAATGCAAGAACTTTTCTTCAAGGAATTTTACTCTGAATTAATTATTTTTTCTGAATAACAATCACTATCTCCATTTTTGCTCTGCTACTAGACATCAACAAGTTAAAAACAGAAGAGACAAGAAAGGATTTGGGGACCCCACAGGCCAAAGAAAAATATTATGCTAAGACAGTGGTTATGTTTACATAACTTCTTTCAAAACAAGCAACATACTAATTGAGAGCAAATGTAAAATCTGACCTTCACAGCTTGAACCTGAATAATGTACTTGAGTATTTTCACACACATAGATCTTACCTTCCATGCCTTCATGCTTCTGACCCTTGGTATCTTGAATACATTGCTTTCTGTTCTTCATCTTCTTTCAAAATGTAGTCTGGAAAATATAGAAATAGTTTACGCAGTTATTTAGATTGCAACTTGAAAATAAAAATGACCACTAGAGATTTAATGAGTGCTCTCCCAGTGCTCTCCATTTCATTACACCTTTGTACAGTAGAGACACATGACAGATTTAGATATAGATCATTTGCAATCTGTTTACAATTTATGAGCATCATTAATGCTGTCTAGCAACTGGTACTTCCAACTTGGAAATTGTTTTTGTTCAATAAATACAAAGACCAGCAATGGTGCTTTTATTTTTAAAGGTTAAATGCATCTCTTAAGTTTCTATGCAAACCAGCCCATTTAACAGCACAGTAACTAACATCTGCGAATTGCCCTTCACAAATGGTTGAAGCAACAAAATTAAACACTCAAGCACCAGAAGAGTTAGCTGCTTTCACACCAATCATCACCAGAGTAGTGACAAGTGAGAAAAATTAAATCAGCTTACATTTGCTTGCTTCTTGCTTTTGTCATACAATTAGAACTATCTGCACTCAAAAAAAATGCAGGGAAAGTTACATCATTGAACAAGAGACAGGTCACAAGTGCAGGTGCACCGGGGTATCATGACTGGGGAGGATGTACCTTTTAACTGTTCTGCAAAGGAGCAGTGTGAAATAACATGGATACAGAATATCCTTGGGATCCACATCATATAGGTTGAAAGAAATCGATCTCGCATAAGAAACAGCAAGCGTATGTTCTTTGGAGGCTCACCTACTACATGCAGAAAGAAATACACTTGAAAAACAAAGTATCTGCACCAAGGACTGAATCTCCCGTATTTCAAACTCCTGTAGTCACAGCAGAGATGGTATAAGCACCTAAAGCTCCAACCCAACAGCCACAGAGGGACCAGCAGTTTTCTTTGGAATGACATAAAGCTTTAAAAATTATTGTTTAAAAGGACAAAACTTCACAAGAGATTGAAGAAGTCAGAAATTAGCAAGATCTGCTATATTAGCATTCAAACCTGAAGCAAAGCAACTGAGACTTCAACCCCCTTACTCTTTAATGCCTTTACTAGGCAAAGATGCAGGACAGAGCTGAGAACACCACAATCAACACTCCTCAACTAAACTTCCTCCTATTTCACTTACAAACTACACTAGCTTACCACCTGGATACCCAGGAGGGGCAGAGACAGAATTTGCCTCCCGAAACTCTTCTGATCAAGTCTTTATTGCTTGATCTTGGCAGCAGGAAGTGTTTTAATGATCATTTTACTGATGAAAGAAATGCTGCTGCACATGCCCATCACGTAACATGCTTCTCACTTTCCTAGGCAATCCAGGAAAGCAGGACCCAGAGTCTGGAACACAGACATTTCATTAAAGAAATGATCAAAACTATGAAACTTATGAGAAATCTGTAACTAGAATTCTAACTGGCTTCAAAGTTCCCATTAAGAACTACTTTTTAAGCCCTCACAAGGAATATATGAATCAAGTTAACTAAGGAGGGGGGAAGGGAAGGGAGAAGGAAACAAAAAGCTAGCTATAAGGGAATTCGTCCACTACACTGCTATCCTATTTTGACACAAAAAATGACTTAAACAATATCATTAGGATAAATGCCATCAATTGTAGAACAGTTACTACCACTGGTATTAATGCAAACTACATTGCAGTGAATGCCATAACTTGTATGCAAGTTTTGTTAGAACAATCACCGACCAGACCACCACCTATTATCCTTGGCAGGCTAGTCAAGATGAAACCCAACAAAGCCAAACCACTACTTTAAAATGTAATGCCCTAAACAAGCAAAATCTGCACCAAATTAGGACAGGTAAGACCACTCAAACCATATTTGAACTTAAAATATGACGTCGAGATCTGTTGCTTTCACTCCGATTTGCAAGAGAACTTAAGTGGTGTTGGTCCCAGAAAGCTTAAATCATGCAGTGGGGTGTGGCATACATGCTTTTCTATATAAAACATAAGAACATTCCTTGTGCTGTACGTCCTGACAAAACCTCAGCAATGCTCTACAGAAGCAGAAAAATCCACAAGCCGTGCTCAAACCTCTCTCAATCCCACAAGTCCCAGGACACCTCACAGCTGAGGCAGTTTAAAGACAAGATTACTAATTCTGCACTCTATCCATCCACAGTAACATTTTATATAGACACAAGCTAGTTACCAAATTGTAATTTAAGCAGTAGCTGTAGAGTTCATGCTTATTAGAACAGAGGTCTTGAGTTCACCAAGACAGAGTGCAGAAACAGAACCCACAGAAGCTCTTCAGATTTGTTTATCGTTAGAAAAAGTAACCTTTTCTCCATTCCACTCTTTCTAGACACAAAGACATCCTAGAAATTCCTGTAGTTACAGTAATGAGAAAAACAGAGATCCTAAAATTTTGACAGAATATCAGTAAGCCCAAGTTGTGCAGGAACTGAAAACACTGATGTGGTGTTACATCATTCTTCTCACGAACTCAGTATTTAAACAGATACTGAGTGCTGCTAATGCATTTCACAGATCACTTTGCACAGCACAACTTTTCTGTTTAACACTGTGCATTTTGCACAACACAGCACAGAAATTTAAATATAAATATTTATAAATAAAGTAAAAGACATCATCAAAACTTACATACTATTTAACAAATTAACTTTGGAAAGACTATTTTCTCCCCAACTTTAAAAGGGGCATCACAGGCCTTGGAACAGTGGAAGAGTTAACACTAAAGACTTTCATTAAATTTATAAATTAAAAACAGAGTTAGGAAGGGAGAACACAGTGGTTTAGGAGGAACACACAGCACAAACCCCAGAACTCTGCCCCAAAATGTGACATAATCCTCTAGATTCTTTTAAACTTCAAGAACATTTGGAAGTATTTCTCAGACT